TCCACCTCTCCTTCCCTTCTTTCCTTTCTCCCTCCCTCCCTCCCATCCATTGCACATTTCCCACAGGAGGGTTTGTTCATTCCTGCCAGAGGTTTGAACTGCTTGCTTGCAGACATTTTAAAATTACACGGAGACTCTTCAGTCACCCCAAGGGAGCCTAGAAATCCACCTTGGAAATAACAATCCGGTTGCAATTTCTGTTGTGTGGAAGACACATATCTGAAAGCTACCTGAGGGGCATTTGGCTGACCCCTGACAAGCCAGCGAGGGAGTGGGGACTTGTTCTACTGTCCTTAGGGCAGCCCCAGGAGGCATTTTTAAAATCTCACCATGCAAAATGCCTCCCCCTTTTTTTTGCAATTGTTGCTGCCATGAAAATGAATGGAATAACCACCCTTTTAAAAAATATTTTTAACCTGGCGGCCAGTTTTCTACAGATTAGTCCTTGGCTTACAACCGTTCATTTAGTGGCTGCTCGAAATGACTGAAAATGACCGTTTTTCACACTTACGACCATTGCAATATCTCCATGATCAGTGTGTGATCAAAATTTGGATGCTTGGCGACTGAACTGACTCATATTTATGACAGTCCTGTGGGGTCATGTGGTTCTCCTTTTGTGACCTTCTGGCAAGCCAAGTCAATGGGGAAGCCAGATTCACTTAACAACAGTGCGACTAACTTAACAACCGCAGGGATTTACTTAACAATTGTGACACAGAAGGTCCTAAAACTCACTGAACAACGGCCTTGCTTAACGATAGAAACGTTGAGCTCAGCTGTGGTCGTAATTTGAGGATTAACTGTGTTTCAGCATTGTTTGTGGGGGGTTTCAAAGGATGGCAACCATCTCTTGGAAATGGGCTGTTACGCTTCCCATTTCACAGATGGTACAAGTGAGGAAGGCTCCATCGCTTAAGGCAAGTCAAGGAACATTTTCCTTGATCCTTAGCCACTTTTCTAGCTCAAGAAAAAAAAACACCTATGGATCTTGATCCTTCTGCCTGCCATTTTAACCCTTTCTTTTTTTTTCTCCCCCTCCCCCCTTCTATCCAAGGGTGACCAATTCATCATTGAAGCAGTCCACCTGAAGCAGGTGAGCAGGGTGAGAATAGGGCATGACGGCAAAGGAGGAAGCAGTGGCTGGCACCTTGCTAAAGTGATAGTGAGGGAAGATGGACAACCAGAAAGTGAGGCTCAAGAATTCCCATGCTACAGGTATACAATATGAATCAGGATCTTCTCAGGTACTAGGCCCTTCAGCCACATATCCAAGGCATCTGGATAAATCTTTTGCCTTAATGCCTGCTGGTCACAACAGAGTCCCTTGGGTTATACAGATAAAGACCCGTAATTTGAGGGGTCCTTGGTTGGTTGCTTAGTTGAGGGGAGGGGTCTGAACTTGGTTGTTTTCTTACAGAACATTTCTTTAGGTAGGTAACATCATCAATGCTAGAAGGGAGGGGTGTCCATTCTCTTATATATGCATATATAACAAACCCCACTCACTAACCTTAATGATGTTACCTAGTTTGGGCAATGAAACGTCTGCAAGAAAACAACCAAGCTCAGAGAGCACCAAGGACCCCTCATTTCAGCTACAAACATTCTCCCTTATTAGATCATTATTATTATTTTTTATAAAACCCAACATTAAAACCTTATTGTAGTGCTATACTGGATGCAACAGAAACCAGCCATCTGGGGCTAACGGTGACCTTTAAAGAGAAAGCCACAATTCGTATCAACAAATTAAAAAAAAAAAAACCAATCTTGAACTGTTAAGCAACAAATTGTTGGGATGGTCCCATCCAACCTCTTCGTGGTGGTTTATATATGCTGCCGAAAAGAAAAGACTCAAACAAGAGATCTACACCATATGAACTGGAATGACAAAGCCGCCCCTGACATTTCAGTAGCCAAAGGTCTCCCGTAATATAAGATTCTTTTCAGCAAATAACCTCCAGAGAAATCCCTGGTGGGGGCATGTTTAAATACTTAACAAAGCATTTCCGCCCCTCAAAGCATGAGCTGTGAAAGCATGTTTATTTCTTTTGGAGCTAAGAATAATGTCAGACGGTTAAGGGATGGGCAGAGAGGTTCAGTTTGGAAACAGGTCATAACATTGGGCCCGGCTCACTGAGCAACCGCTTTGCTTAGCAACGGATATTCTGGTCTCAGTTATGGTTATATGTCGAGGACTACCTATCTGGAACCAAGGCTTTGAAGCAGGCCGCAATTGCACAATAATAAAAACATAAATGCACAGATAAAAACAGATACCTTTTCAAGTAGAAAGATAGCACCGCTGACAAAAAAAAGTGGCACTAAAATGTTTTTCTGACAGCTTTTCTTAAAATCTGCACAGAGATTTTATTTATTTATTTTTTAAAAAATATCAATGACATTTAAAATTTGGAAATTTTCTACTGTATACATTCTAAAGTACAGCTTCGGCAGTGTTACGACTTCTTTCCTGCCTCATTCTCCAGCAATATATAAATTAGAGTTGCATTCATACTTTATCCCAAAGGTCCTTTTTCAAAAGGCAACTAAACTTTGTTTCTTTTCCTTGAAGACATTTTGCTTCTCATCCAAGAAGCTTCTTCTGTTCTGCCTTAATGGTGTAGAATGGAAGGATTTATATTCCTACAGTCCTCTGGTCGTTAGTACTCCCTCTGAGATTTATTGAGGCCATTTGGAAGCAGGGGGTGGGATTCTACTGTAATTTGAACCGGTTCTATAGAACTGGTTGTTATGATTCTGCACAGTTTGGAGAACCGGCAAATCGTGCCCCTAGCTGGCTCTTCCCCGCCCAGTCAGTCCTTATCGCACATGCGCGACATCGCGTGCATGCCCGACATCACTGACTGCATTCTTTCCTGCCCAGTCACTCCTTAAGGTATTTCTTTTTTTCCCCCTTCCTGACGACCAGCTGTTCAGATGACCAGTGTGCCGGGATCCCCCTTGGTGTCTTACTGCTTTGCCCAGGAGGCAGCGCTGCAAAAAAAAAAAAAAGAAGCCATGATTACCCAGTCACATGGCCACGCCCACCTAGCCACACCCACAGAACCATTAAAAATTTTGAATCCCACCCTGCTTGGAAGTCCCCTGAATAGCGTAAATGGATGTGGAACCTGCTTGGAATTGCTGAACAGACTGTGTGGTAAACATGAGATGGGTTGTGTGGTATCCACCCCTCCTGTTGTGACAAGGCTGTTCAGTCTTAATGTAGACGACCTTTTTGACCCCTCTTTCAAACTAATGGTCCTCTCTGTCCAGAATGTGGACTTTGCTATCTTCAAAAGAGTGCCTTTGTCTTTCAAATGCAGATGGGCTGCAGTCCACACCCATTTGCACTGTTCAGGTGACCCCCGAGGGCACAGATAAACCTCCAACTGGCTTCAACGACCTTCAGAAAGAATTTAATGACCAGATGACTGCAATAAATATACTGTAAATCCTTCCATCCCCCATTGTTCAGTCAGAACTGAAGAAGCTTCTTGGATGGGAAGCGAAATGTCTTCAAGGAAAAAACAAAGGAAGTCCAGTTGCCTTTTGAAAAAGCACCTTTGGGACAACCATGACCTGGATGACAGAGAATCTCCGTCGACACCCATAGTTTATGTTACCCCAGAGAATACATAAAAAATAAGAATTCAAAACCAAGATGTTCCAATCGTGACCCAAAAGGAATATTAAGCCAACAAAACTCCTCCAAATAACCCTGGAAAAATGGGAAAAAAGTATTTAATGTATATATTTACCCCAAAGGAAGATCACCCCAAAGTTATCTCCATCTTTGATGGAGAAACAATTTTGTTTGCAGTACTATATTCTCAGCGATTCTCGGGTGACTTTTCCATGTAAAGCTAATTATTTTGGGGAAACGAAATTTCATTTCAGATACATGCAACTTAACTATCTCCTTAGGTACCTTTTGGCTGCCTCTGACAAAAAATGATTTTGCTGTCCTCATACCTCCATTATCTCAGCCTTCTAGGGTACAACCACATGATAGCCTGCAGAGGAAGCAGCCAATCCACGGTGACACCTTCAGTTCTTTGTCAACATGGCTGCCTTCTGTTTGTAGGTTGTGTTGTGGTCTCCTTAAGACCAAGGTGTGAGCCCACTGCATCCTCCATTATAAAGGAAAGTAGACATCTCCATGACCTGTAGATTTTGGATAAAACCCATTCCAGGCCTGCTGGTCAAGGAGACTTCCGAATCCTTCATGGTTTTGAAAAGCTTAATTTTGATCCACAGCGATGTGATGCCTTGATTTTGAGTCTGGTTGAATTTTATATGGTCCAAGGGCTAATCAATCAACCAATCAAGGATAAAGAAGTATGGTTGAACCTACTGCAAGGATGTTGCTGAAGGCAGCATTTTTGTGGAGAACAATCCTAGCTTTCTTTCATTTGAATTAAGAATCATTAAATTGGAAAAATGGCCTCTGTTTGGGAAAAAAGAAAGGATGAAGAGAAGATATATTTATTCCATTTGAGATGGTGGACATTTTTATTAAGAATGTGTTGTTCTTAACCCATTTCCATTAATATTGAGAACTGAATACAGTGGTACCTTGGTACTCAACTGGTTTGAAACTCATCAAATTTGCTACTCAAACGCATTTTGAGGTGAAAATTGTGTCCCGGTACTCAATGTTTGTTTGGTACTCAATGTACAAGCTAAAACTTTTCGGTGTCAGCTGACTTGTAACTCACTACCTTATAGGGAAAAAATTGTTTGGTGCTTATCGTTTTTGGTAGTCATCACATCTCCCAGAACCAAACAGAGGGATAGAGTTAAGATCACGTGAAGTGTTAATACCACTTTATAAGGCCTTGGTAAGGCCACACCTAGAGTACTGCATTCAGTTTTGGTTGCCATGATGTAAAAAATGATGTGGAAACTCTAGAAAGAGTGCAGAGAAGAGCAAGAAAGATGATTAGGGGACTGGGGTCTAAAACATACGAAGAACAGTTAAAGGAACTGGGTATGTCTAGTTTAATGAAAAGAAAGACTGGGGAGACATGCTAGCAGTGTTCCAATATGTCAGAGGCTGCCACAAAGAAGAGGGAATCAAGCTATTCTCCAAAGCACATGAAGGCAGGACAAGAAGCAATGGGTGGAAACTTACAAAGGAGAAAAGCAACTTAGAACTAAGGAGAAATTTCCTGACAGTTAAACAATTAATCAGTGGAACAACTTGCCTCCAGAGGTTGTGAATGCTCCAACACTGGAAGTTTTTAAAAAGATGTTGGATAACCATTTGTCTGAAGTGGTGTAGGGTTTCCTGCCTAGGCAGGGGGTTGGACTAGAACAGCAGTTGCCAACCGGTGGGCCGTGGCCCACTGGTGGGCCGTGAAAATTTTTTGGTGGGCCACAGAGAAATCTCAACCCTAGAGCAAAGTAATTAATCCAGGCTGAGCAGAAATGCAAGGCTGCGCCGCCCACATGGCCCGCGAGAATCCTCTCCGCCCACTCACTCCTTACCTGGTAAACTTGCCTGCTAAATTGCTATTTTTTCTTTTTCCAACCATCAGGTGTTCTGCTGTGCTGGGAGATTTAGATTAGCTAGGAAGCAGGAAATGGTTGGGTTTCTTCCTTTCTAGCTAGTCTTTAGATCTTCGGCTTAGCACAGCTGAACCTCCCTTAGGACTGAAGGTTTGCTTGCAAGCAAATTCAGTGCAGACTCACGGCAAGCAAATTTGAGAGACTGAGCTAGCCGATGGCAGATAGATAGATCACTGAATGATTCTGTGAGCACCTCAATCTGCCTGCTTTACCTGATTTTGGGTAAAAGTTGTCTTTGTTTATTATAAAAAATTCAATATTTATATAAATATTTATAATATTTACATACAAGCCATGCCCAGCCAGTCACATGACCACCAAGCCACACCCACAAATTAGGCCACGCCCCCAGAACCGGTTAGTGGTCCCTGGGATCTAAAATTATGAGTTTGGTGGTCCCTGAGGTCCAAAAGGTTGGCGACCCCGGACTAGAAGACCTCCAAAGTCCCTCCCAACTCTTATTCTATTCTATTCTATTCTATTCTATTCTATTCTATTCTATTCTATTCTATTCTATATTCTATTCTATTCTATTCTATTCCATTAATGTCTTGAGTCTTGAGGTACCACTGTACTTGATTGGACCAATGGAATTTGATCCGTGATTGTTTCAAGGTTCATATATTA